AGTAGATGAGTATTGTGAGAAGAAAATAGAGCTTGGTGCGTTTCCTTCCACTGCAGTAAATGGATTCAACCTATCTGTGATAATATTTTGCACAGGATGATCAGTGAATGAAAAGTGATTGGTGCTCATCTCAGCTCCCACCTCTGCACGTCTCCATTTGATCATTAAAATAGGCCATGAAATCACATGTTTCAGTTCTTCATGTTAGCTACAAACACCTATACTAACTGCTATGTCAATCTCCTCACCATCAAACTGACACACCCATTAACCATTATTTGAGAAATCCAAAACACTGTTTAATTAATACTGCATGGGACTGTGTATGGAAGGAAACAAAGTAATTAAAAAAGGGGTCTCACTTTACTTGAGAAGACCTGAATCTAGAACAGGGGTGGCCAATCTTATCCGCAAAGGGCTGGTGTGTATGCAGGTTTTCGCTGTAACTCCCTAATTAGGTCACCAATTAAAGGACTGATTGGCTGAAGAGTCCTCACACCTGGGTTTGAACAGCTGACCTAAAGGTTATCCCAAAAACCTGCATACACACCGGCCCTTTGCGAATAAGATTGGCCACCCCTGATTTAGAAGATTCATGTCAGTACATAACTAACTCTTAGTTACTGGTTAATTAATGCATTACGTAAGAGTGTAGTACTACATTATGCATGTCCCCTCAAGTAAAGTTACCAAAAAAGGTGCAACAGTCCTAACCTGTTCCTATACTCTGGATCTTGCTGTGTGAGAAGGGGTTCAATAATGATCACTTCCCCTGTAACTGATTTAAACACCAGGAAATGAGACAGTCCTCTAACTCGGTATGTTAATAATGTGAACTTTTCATGTGTATTATTTGTATCTGTATTTTGTGACTTTAAAAACATAATTTTGTTTTCTCATTGAATTGATGTTGGTATATTTAATTTATATTTAAAATGATATGTTATATTTTAAACTTGCAAATATAACAGCATGTTTTTGTTGGTTTGCTGGAAAGTCACGCAAATTGAACGACAGCTTAGATTCAGCATGGCAGGCATGCTGATGGGCTTCATTTCCCTGGTAACACAGTTTCACTCTCCCCCAGCTGCTTCTGTCCACTGCTGTCGTGACAAACACTTCTCTGGCTAAAGGTCTCAGTGTATTTTCAGCTTCCTGAGGTTTCTCTGTTTACGAGCTGCATCAGAAACAATTGTGGCAACCAGGCTTCTGCACTGAAACGACATGATAAGGTGCTGGTGTAACTGCTTTGCTGGCAAGATCAGTTTCTATGTGAAAGGCCAAAAGCCACAAGATAGAAATTGCGAAATTAGCAATGATAAAAAATAAAGGGCATAACAACAAAAGGAGGTCAAACGTTATAGCTTCAGGATGTCAGCACAGCAACAAACATCACCTTTACAAACACCACTGTGTGGTAAAGTTCTCTAGAAAGGTGTTGAGGTCTATCAAGAACAAAAACACACATATATAGTTCTTTCCCAGCGACAGTGGGCTACATCAACAGCCAGTAACCTGTCCCACTCTCTCAGTCATCTCACCAAGCTCCTGCTACATTGCACCATGCACATTATTTGCACTAAGCACATTACATTATTTTATTTTTATGTACATAATTAATCTATGATTTCTGTGTGCATGCATATCAATCACTGTGTTCTATCATATATTGTTATTATTTGACTTTTTTATTTTTTTACTTTTTCCTCCTCGAAATGTTAGCACCTTATGTCATCCTACAGTCAAGAAACGCCACTCCACCCATCAAACGTTCTACCCATTAAGGAGAAGTGTGCTTGTGTTTTTCTATTCAATATTTCACTTGCATCCCTCTTTTTCATCCCTCTTTCCATCATTTTTTTCCATACATTCAGTAAATCTTCAGCATAAAACCTCCAAACTTGCTGAAGACATCTAGTGTGCAGCTCAAAAGTATTCAACTAACTTCCATCCACTTAGCCCTCATTCATTCCTTCTTTTTCACCTGTTTTCCTCCCATTGACTTTAATTTGCCTTTCATATCGTTGGCACTCATCAATTTCACCCTTATTCATCCATCCATCCTCATGGGTTTAAAGCTACAACAATCAAACTTTGTATATAGACTCAACAGCTAATTAAAAGTGTTATTCCTTCATCCTTTCTTTCTCAGTGTCTTTCTTCTACTTTTATGTGCACAGCAATCAAACGTTTTCTTCAGGAAATGCCCTTTCTAGTTATATTGTCATGATTGTCCTTGATTGTTTCGCATGACACCCAAAGTAAGGGCCTTGCTCAAGGACCCAACAGATATGTGACTGTTTCGCCAAGGCTGGGATTCAAACAAGCACTGATGCCTAATTGACCGAACCACACATCTGCTGTTCATGTTGTCCCACCCCCACCTCATCACTGTCTTTGTTTCTTCATTTATTGTGTAACAAAAATGTCAGTAATCCTGTCTTGACCGTCATGTATAATTCCTCCAGTGAACTCTGAGCCAAAGATCAGTAAATGTCATTGTAACTGCATCCAGCAAGACTGGATCCCACACCTGGACACACCTGACACATTGTTAACGGACGACATCCAATTCCGTCACACGCCCCACCAAGACCGTTCACTGTTTTTATGATAAGCTGTGGATCACAAAAGACCCAAAGGACCTACTCGACAAGAAGAAGATGGTCTTCAGGTCTGGAGACAAGAGGGAGATTGAGAGTGTGCAGGTGGAACTGATGAAGCAGCCCTGCGAGGGAAAAATCTGCTACAGTGACAAGCTGGAGCACAAGCTAAAGTGGAACAGCATGCAGGAAGCATGGAATGGGATGAGGAGCATCACCGCTTACAGGCTGGCTGGAAACCTCGTGGTGGAGGGGAGCACAGACAAGGCTGTATCTATATCTCAGTCTCTTCAGCAGTAGATATGTAGATATGACTGTCACTCTCCAGTCAGGCCCCTCCCAACACCAACAGCCACAGTGTGTCGGTTGTAAGTGTTGCTGGCTCTACATTGACTCCACTATCTTCACACCCCCCTGCAAATTCCTCACTCTGGAGGAATGATCCAGTGACTCTTCCACAGGTGAGGAGTGAGCTAGGGAAACCCCAAACAGGCAAGGCTGTGGGATCAGACAGAATCAGCTGAAGATGTATGGGGCCCATCAGGAACTATTCAGGAACTATTCTCTCCAAGGCTCTAGATGACACCCTATGTGACTGGAGGGCCAAAAACAGGGTTACTGCAGCACCCATGTGGACTTCAGAACAGTTGCTCTCACTTCACGCATAATGAAGACCTTTTGAGAAGAAGCTGGTCCTGAAGAAATTCTGGTCACAGACCACCTAGCTTGGCTAACAGGCACACATAGATGAGGATGTTCTTCTGATCTATACTCTCCATACAGCCTACTCACATCTGGGCAAAGCCAGTACCATTGTCAGAACCATGTGCTTCGACTGGAGTGTATTCCAAACACACAGCCATGTACTGTAGGAAACAGGTTTGAACCACCCCTCCCACTCCCCAAAATTTGTTTGCTCCCAACCAGAGAAGTAGCCAGTTAGTAAAATTGCAGGGTTGAACCCTACCCCGAAATTTGCATCCCCTTCCCCGATTCCGCAAAATCTACTGAGGGGAACAACACATACCACCCCCCGCCCCCAGACTTTATGTCTACCTACAAGCCTGGTACATTCTATACCATTCAGCCTCTCCAACTTGGGATCAAGCTCAGGGGAATTCAACTAACAGATGGCAGGTGTGGAGGCTCCCAGACTTCGCCGCGACACTATCAACTCCAAACTCCTGCTACTGACAAAAGTTCTTTGATGACTCTTCTATTATAGGGTACTGACTACAGGAGTCTAATAAAGGACTTTGTCTTATGGTGCAGGGAGAACCAACTGCTACTCAACATTCGCTACACAAAGGAGTTGCTGGTGGTTTCTAGGGCAGGATAAGATAATAACAAAAGATGGACTTTATTGATCCCAGGTTGGAATTCTGTTGCATGGGGCAGCAAGATACGTAAAGTGCATGTAGATGGTGGTCTGATGTCCTTATTGAGCTGGAACACCCTTAGACCACACAAGATGTCTTCCAGAGCAGGGGTTCCTTCTGCAGACTCAGGGTGTGGGAGAACAGGTACTGAAAGACCCCACAGAGCTGGCTGGCAGGCGTCTTCAACACCAAACAGTTGATTCCATCAGAAATCAGTGCCTGGGGGTCCACCTGAACAGTGGGCTAGACTGAACACCCAACACAGAGGCACCATGCAAGAATAGCCAGAGCAGACGCTACATTCTGAGTTGGCTCAGATCTCTTGACATGTGCATCAAGTGGCTGGACATACTGGCCAGTATACCTCTCTATATTATGGTCTGCCAGGTAAGTTCAGATGATACCAGATATCTAAACAAACTCATTAGGAAGCTCAGCTCCATCATAGAAATGACCTTTGACCCTCTGGAAGCAATTTCGGCAAACAGGACTGGAGAACATAATAAACAATTCTGCCCACTGCTTCCACGGGGTGCCATCCTGGAGGACCTTCAGACACCAGCTCTGTCTCTCACGGCGTGCCAGGAAGCCAAAGCTACCTTTGGTGCCTGAACCAAAGCCTCCAACCCAACAGGCTACAAGAATGAGGATGGAAAAAGACATTCAAAAATAAAAAATCAGTAAGTATGCCAGAAATGTTTTGTACTTCAATTTTAAGTGTAATGATAGATAGTGCAAATGATTAAAATCAAATCATTTTAGTGAATCAAGTCAATTCAATGATCTAAAATAATTTTACCCCCTCTTTTGAAAGATACTAACAGGCAACAATGTGTATGTAATGTTTTAGTTCATCTCAACAGAATGAAACACTGTGGGGGGGGAGCTGGCTGGAAGTGAGTGGAAATGACTAAGAGAGATGAGGAATTCAAAACATTTCTGATCGCTATCCAGTGGCTGTTTACAGTGCAGTCTGTCCGTGACATCAGAGGCCGGCCTTTATAAACGTCAGTGGAAACACCAGCAGGAACAGCGGCAGCAGCGAACTCTGGGAGGACGGAAGAGCTACTCGTCGGCCAGCCGGAGGGGGGACGCGATGCAGCGGCACGCTGTGCCATCCTGGATTCTGCTCTTCTGCGCACTCTCACAGGTGAGCCTGAAAATCTGCTTTGCGGGTTACAGCCAGCAGGGGGAGGTGTGGTTAAGGAACCAGACAGATTAGGAACAAGTTAGAATCCCAGACATTATCTTCAGTAGGGATTTATCCTAGATGGCGTCTAACATTAAAGTACAAAAATTGACATGAATAATAAAATGTATTAGAAGTTCCCTAAGTAAATGTGGGATGATAATGCAATATTAATAACATCACAATACTAATACTACATATTGCTAAATGTAACAATAACGATGTGATGTATAGTGTTTTCATAGTTCTCTATGAACTATAGGTTAGTTTACTGCTAAGCTATTAACATTCCTAAGCCTATCCCAGGCACATCTCACTGCCAGAGTCCACGAATGACACATTTTATCCATGTTAAGTCATTTTCTTGGCAATTTATTGCAGGGACATTAAAATTGTGGCAGCTTGAATCAGCAACAGTTACTGTCCAACAATAATATCGCTCATAGATGACTCTAGTAGTTGGGCTTATCAATGGTGACCGTAGCAGAAGTATGGATCAATGACATTTTTATGTGTTTTGATGTTTGAGCAAATGAGGGACACGGTGTTCAATCTGTCAACCCCCCTGACCAGAAAAAAAAACAAAAGGCTTGGCAAGTGATCTGATCTCCCAAAATGAATAGCAATAGTTCAGCTCGACAATTTTTGTGTGCAGGTTTGGCTCGAGTACTCCAAAATAACTGGAAACAGGTTTAGTCTGTAAATAAGATTCCAAGGATGTGGGTCTCAGGTCTTGTAACATTCTCATGCTGTGATTGTATTCAATGTCTATAAAACATCTGAGCACAAATAGACCGTAAAATGTGTTGCCGACACAAGATATTTGTCAAAGTATTTGATTAGTGTACCGGATGAGCATAGTGTCAGTTTTGGAAATGGAATCCTCTAGTTCCCTTCAAATAGCCAATCACCAAGCTGCCTAAGATGGTCTGTGAGCCAATGAGGGGTGAGGTGCTGACTTTGTCACCTCTGTGTCAGGTATGCTGCCAAATGTGTGGAGGCCCTTGCTACTGTCCCAGGTCTCCGCCCCATTGCCCTGCCGGTGTCCCCCTGATCCTGGACGGCTGCCGCTGCTGCCGGGTCTGTGCCAGGCAGCAAGGCCAGACGTGTGACGACAAATTCCTGTGCGATGCCCAACGGGGACTGCAGTGTGACTACAGTGCTAGCTTTCCAGGCGGTCCAGGAGAGTGTGTCAGTGAGTACCTGCGGGATCTCGAGTGTCCCATGCCAGAGCCAAGATCCAAAAAGGAGATGGCATCCTTACCCGGTGCTCCACCAGGTTGACACGCCAAGTAGAGTCTGGGAAGAATGTGGCCTTTACAGCATCTTGAGCTGTGCAAACATCACAATTTTTGTATCCATGGCAAGTGTTGACATATTTCTCCTAAAGCCCTTCTGGCAAGGTGATTGATGACAGAGCCAATGCCGACATCGCTGTAAAAACCAGGCTACACGAAGTGTCACATGACTTCTGGTGTAGCTAGCGAGCAGAGCATCATCTCCCGGTGCTTCCATCTTCCCCTGTGGACCGCAGGTCAGGAGGAATTGGGCTGTGAGCTCAATGGAGAGACGTACCAGGAGGGCCAGGTGTTCCAGCCATCATGTGGCCTGCAGTGCCGCTGTGCCGGGGGGGGTGTGACCTGTGTGCCCCTGTGCAGTGACGAAGTGCAGCTGCCCAGTGCAGACTGCCCACATCCCCAGCACATCCAGCTGCCAGGGAAGTGCTGTAAGGAATGGGTCTGTGAGAACACGGACAACAGCGTCCTCCAGAAGACCCTGCCAGGTACGCCAGCTCCATCCACACCCTCACATCATGCTAATCACAAGAGCTTTGTTTCATTTGTCCTTTCAAATTTTTGTTAACTATACTATATGAACATAAGTACTGGAACACCAAGCCATTACAGTCACCTGCAGGGACTTTCCCATCCCATTCTAAATCCACAGGCATCAATATGTAGTTGCCCCCCCTCCCACTTTGCATTTATAACAGCTGCCACTCTCCTGAGAAAACTTTCCATAAGATTTTGGAGTGTGTCTGTGGGAATTTTTGCCCATTCACCCAGAAGAGCATTTCTGGCTCGCAATCTCTATTCTAGTTCATTTCAAAGGTGTTTGACGGGGTTGAGGTCAGGGCTTTGTGTGGACCAGTCAAGTTCTTCCTCACCAAACTCACCCAACCATGTCTCTATGGACCTTGCTGGAACAGAAAATGACCTTCCCCAAGCTGTTACCACAAAGCTGGGAGCATAGAATTCTCCAATGTCCAAGTCTGAAGCATTAAGCATTCCCTTCACTGGAACAAAGGGGTCTAGCCCAGTCCCTGACAAACACCCCCATACCAAAATCCCTTGTCCACCAAACTTTACAGTTGGCACAATGCAATCAGGCAAGTAACGTTCTCCTGGCATCTGCCAAACCCAGACTCAACCATCAGACTGCCAAACAGAGAAGCATGATTTGTCACTCCACAAAACAGGAGTCCAGTGGCAGTGTGCTTTGCACCACTCCATCCAACGCTTGACATTGTGCTTGGGGATGTGAGGCTTGCATGCAGCTGCTCGGCCATGGAAGCCCATTCCATGAAGATCCCAGGGCACAGGCACAGTTCCTGTGCTGTAGTTAATGCCAGAGGAAGTTTGCAGTCAACAGAATTAGAATTAGGTGATCAGCGGTCATTGTTAACACACCACACCACAGCACACAGTGCACAACAACAAAATGTGTCCTCTACATTTAACCCATATGTGACTTTTGTGACATAGCAGGGGGCAGCTAATTCAGCACCCGGGGAGCAGTGCTTGGGGGCGGAACCTTGCTCAGGGTACCTCAGTGGTGCCTTGCTGGTTGGGGATTCGAACCTGCAATCTTTCGATTACAAGTGCGCATCCCTAACCATCAAGCACCAGGGCATTGGTGCCTTTTACACATTATGCGCCTCCTCACTCTGCAAGTTTCTGTTGTTCCTAAACGTTTCCACTTTGCAATAGTTCCACTTATAGTTGACTGTGGAATATCTGGCAAGGAAGAAATTTCATGAACTGACCAGGAAGGTAGCATCCTATGACAGTAACACACTTGAATTCAATGAGCTCCATTGTTTCACAAATGTTTGTAAAACTGACTGTATGGCTAGGTGAGTTTTATACACCTGTGGCAATGGGTCTGATGTTTACTTACTATAATGAAAAGGAAAAAAAAAAACCTCCTTACAGTGGCTGTAAGAAAACATCTGACAGAGGAAAGCCTTGGAAACATCTCACCACAGAGCTTCATGATTTCCATGAGTCAGGAGACGAGTCATGAATGTCTGGCCGAAGACTCAAAGATCAAGGACTCACAAATAGGCCTGATGAGCAGCTTCAAAATCTGCTGCCTTAAAAAAATGACACTGGGTGTCAAACGATGCTGCCCATCACATTTCGGTCAAACTGAACATCCTGCAGAGATGTTTACTTTAAGCAGGGTGGCTCTGCTTATTTGAGGCAGGAGCAAGGCCAAGGAAACGCTGACTCTTTAAAGCTTTGAATTGGGGCCCAAATAATTCCTAGAGTTAGTGTTACTTTTCAGTGAGAAATTGATCAAGGTGATTCTGCAAGAGAAAAGAAAAACAATCTGATGAAGCTTCATCAGTTCTAGTTATATTAAAATGTACAGTTATGGAAGGGAGAAAACAGGAAATACACAGGCAACAGGAATACACCTGTGTTAATGCTTGCTTTGTAACAATACTTAATGATGATTTAACTAATGACCACATCCAAAATAACAGAACTGCTTAAAACTGAAATATATATTTTAGTAAAAAAACTTCTCATAAAATGCACAATGGCTGACTCTGAAAGTCAAGAATATTATTCCCTTCATGTTCATTGCTCTGATTTGAGCTGATCTTGCATTTCCAACACTTTCTTTAAAATGTTTTGCATAACGCTTGAGATAATGGGCTGGGAATCTTGTACTTCCCAGACAGACAGCGGCTCCAAGGGTTACTGAGAACCAGGCATTCTTATATCTGATGAAAATGGATGTTTTTGGAAAGGAGCTTGTTGCAGTCGAAACATGAGTAGTTTTTATTTAGCCTACAGGCTAAATGGCACAAGGATGGACGTCTCCAGTCAGAGCCGGATCCCTATTTCCAACTGCATCGAGCAGAGCACAGCGTGGAGCCCCTGCTCCCAAACCTGCGGCCCAGGAATATCCACCCGTGTTTCCAACCAGAACCGGGCTTGTCGTTTGGAGCTGCGTAGTCGGCTGTGCCAGCTGCGACCCTGCCAGGGGGCTCCCCTCAGGGTCTCTAAGGTGGGTGCCCCCCCAGTTCCCTTGGCCTCCATTGCCTACCATTCCCTATTTGGTCCTTTGGTCACATGCAGTCTGTACCACAAAAGAAGTTTAATAGTGGAGACTGATAACAATTAAATTTATTCTCTTTTCAGTTTTATATGAAATGTAGTAGAATGACGCATTGGAAAAACATTTTTTCCCTTTCAAAGTAAAGTTGTACTACTTTGCTAAACAACAGTGGTCTTTGGGGGAATCTAGGTCATGCGGGAAGATGATTGAATGCCTTTGAACAACTGACTCTGTTCCACAATTGTCCCTGGTCAATTGTCCCTGGAATTTGTTAAAGGTAAACCTCTTATGCTGGTCAGGGTTGCTAGGGTCTCTGGAGCCTATCCTGTACAGAACAGGTGACGAGGCTGGAGTACACTCTGGATAGGATGGTGGCTAACAACTAAAAGCTTGGACTTTGCCTATTTATTTTTGCTCGCATTCACATGAAAGTGAAGTGGTCGAAAAAAAAAAACAGTCACAGAGAACAACTTTTTTCACAGCAGAAAGAACAAATAATTATTGTAAATGGTTCACAATAGTGGCTAAGTTTTGGAAAGCTGGCCAGGTCACAGAGATGTCATCAGGGGAACCCCGCGTTAATGAAAGCACTAGAATCGAATTCTAATGGTGAAACCGAAACCGTGTTCCAAATGTTCACATCCGGAAAATGGAACCATGATATCCACCTGACCCCGACCTAAAGTTAGGGCAAGCCGTATGTTTTGTAAACATTACACATTGTACCTTCTAACTGCATGTGTCATGTGACTATTTACTATGCAGTAAAAGCTAGGCTAGTTTCATTAACTCAAGATGGATAATAAGCCGGAGACCACATAGCCCCCCCCCCCCCCCAGGCACCTGTTGACTTACTCCAACTGAGTGAGTTTTGGTTCCCAGTACTGTAACATATGATGAGGAAGCCTGAGTTTAGGTCACTGGTAGTCTCATCTCCGAAACACCAACAAAAAGAAGTAGACTGAGGGGGTTTGGGAAATCTGCTCGTCAATTTGGAAAACAGTCTTGACTTTAATTGGCTTGAGCATTGCAACACAGGTTTCAATGCAGTGTGTTCTGCATGTTCCAGCAGCCGAAGCGCTGTGAGCCCAGCTACAGGTCTGCGCAGCTGGTACGGCTAGAGTACCTGGGCTGTCACAGCGTACGACTCTACCTCCCCCGGTACTGTGGGATCTGCTCCGATGGTCGCTGCTGCACTCCGAACCGCACCCGCACAGTCTGGGTGATGTTCCGCTGCCCGCGAGGTCGCCTGCTGAGCCATCCCGTCATGGCCATCGACTCCTGTTCCTGTCACTACCACTGTCCCCAGCTGCTCAACACTGCCCCCAGGAGGCCTGAGCCTATCCGCACCATATTCCAGTTATTCCAGTTATAAGTGCCCATATTCATCTCTTTTCCATATTTTAATCCCACTACATGCCTACATACCCTTATCTGCTATCCATGTCCTTGGAAGTAACTTCCCTTGTAATGTTCCAGCAGGACTGGACTGGGATTAAAAATCAGCCCTGTTGCTTTTGCCCATACAGGCCTATACCTACCTACACATGCACTTTAGAGCAATATTTCTAAAGCAAAAAATTTAAATGTACCTGAAATTAAATAGAAAACCTAAATAGAACTTATCACCTAAATAGATACGCCAAATAGAACTTGTGTTGTAGAATTTGTTGGTCTGAGGAGCAGATTTTGGTGGCCCATAACCCCATTGACCCATCAGGAAAATGCCCAGTATGCCAGATGGCCAGCCCAGTCCTGTACTATGGGCTAATCATATATCACTGAATCCCTGGCCATAGCTTCTGCCACTGAGATCCCAAAAATGCTACATAATTGCTAATCTACAGAAAAGGATGTATGGAATCTAGTATCCAATGTGTAAATGAGCCTTTCCACTGGTTTAGCCTTCAGATGAAAAAGAAAAGCATGTCACTAACTTACCATACCACGAATTGCCATTGTAAATCATGGGCTCCTAATCTTTTCCTTCATGGGGGTTCGTCTGAACTGCACCTAGTCTGGTCACTCACCTAGGACCAATTTGCCTTGGGAGTCCTTGCCAGGGGCATTTCCCCTCCCCCCCCAACACCACAATAAGGTGGCGATTCATCGAGGGACACCCATCCATGCATGCATTTGAAGTAACAGCTGCCCTTTTAGGTCTATTATCCAAAACTACCTTGTCTGACTGTAAGTTTCAGTCTTTGATACTGTTTTTCACTGTTTTGAAAAGTTTTAAAGTTATGATATCTTATGTTTTGCATCTGAAATTGAACTGAACAGATGTGGAACATTCATTAAAATAGGAATCACTAAAACATTCACTGAAATAATACATAAAATAAAATAGAAATAAAATAGGAATCGCTGTAATTGCTGAAATAATACAGCCACCTTGTACATTAAAGAAATATACCCGATCAAAGTTGTTTCTCAATGACAAAAATGACAATGTCTCTAAATGACTTGCTCCTGTTATATGAATGTTTAGTACTTTTCATGTTTTCTACCCCTTGTGTAATAAAAGTATGCACATTTTACTTTTGCGTGGATTGTGGTTGTGCTTTTGTGAGCCGAGACATTTTTCCCTGTTGATATATCTCTATCAATCATAATTTAAATCTCTGAATTTACATTTCTAATATTATGTGAAATTACTTCCCACCGACCAATCTTCTGTACCCACCCATCCCGTAGGGCAGGGGTGTCAAACTCCAGTCCTGGGGGGCCAGAGCCCTGTGTAGCTTAGTTCTTTCCCTGTTCCACCACAAATGATTCGGCTCAAGAGATGTGTGGTAATTAGCACAAGGAGTTGAATCAGGTGTGTTAAATGAGGGGAAACCCAAAAATGTGCAGGACTCCGGCCCCCCAGGACTGGAGTTTGACACCTGTGCCATAGGGGGTCCAGAGTCTATCCTGGAGGTTACAGGTGTAAGGCAGGGTACAACTGAGGATGGTCACCAACCCATCACAGGGCACACATACCATTCACACCTACAGGCAATTCGGTAACTTCACCTTAGGATTTTTTTGCACCATGGTGGGGGAGGGAACCAGAGCACCTGGAAGAAACCCCGCAATGACACAGGGAGAACATGCAATCTCCACACACATGGAGACTCAAACCTGGGTCCCAAAGGTGTGAGGCAACAGTGACAAGCACTGCACCATCCATGATATTATCTCATTGATGCTAAAGATATTGTATCATGAAGTCTCACCTAATCTGACTCCAGTTAGGCCAAGTATATTTTAGACATTTTAAATTACTTACTAATTGCTCATTATTTACTAATGTATGCTACTGTACATTTACTGTTCTTAGGCTTCCCCCATCACTGTCACTAGGGTTGTCATTAAGGTAGATTAGGCTTCCTGTCCCAAAACCACTGGAATAGATACTGTGATGTGGCAGATCCCATTGCAACGCCAGAAGGCACACCATTAAATTAGATAAGACCCTCAAAGTGGTGTGCCTTCTCTTGGTGGTTCTGTCTGCCCTTAACGTAATAATAGCTGGATTTAATATAGAATTCTAGGAGGTTTTTGTAAAAGTAATGAAGAACAATGTTATCCCATTTGTTTCTTGTTATAGTGTAGAGGTTGAATTGATTAACTGGTTGAATAATACATAATTACACACACTGTATATTATAAGACTAGTACACGTACATGACTTTGCGGAGCAACTCAATCATGTTAGTAATACAAAATGTCCTTGACGACTGCCCTGTGGTGTCACAGTATACTGCTATGTCCACACTAGGCGTCCAACGGTACACGGTATTATATTGAACAGTTCAGTATGCGCAGGTGAACCGAGACATTTCGGTATGCATAATTTTGTTACAGCCTATCAGAGCTCTGTATGTAAGTACAAGCCCCAAGATCAGCCTATCAGCATTTTGCATGCAAATACAAGCCCGAGAACTGATGGACAACCAAAACAAATATTATTTAAGCTTCGACACAACTATGGCGAGCGGTAGCGAGACTGAGAGAAACAAATACGAAGGGGCACCACAAAGTTTCAAATCCGCTGTGTGGGAACACTTTGGATTTAGTGTTCAGTACGATGACGAGGGTAAGAGGACTGTAAACAAGCAAAAGACATTCTGCAAGCATTGTTTGGCAAGAGTTGGCTACTCAAATGGAAACACTTCTAACATGATGTTTCATTTACGTCGCCACCACCCAGCCGTTTCACTAGCTAGGAGAGTGCACTCACTAGTGAAAGCGCAACATCCACCAACTCTCGCTGCTGCCTTCCACCAACAATTAGCCACAAATTCAGTTAGACATAAAGAAATAACGAAAGCAGTGGGATTGTTCATAGCGAAAGATTTGCAGCCCTTTTCAGTAGTTAATGACTTGGGATTTCGTCACCTTATCAAAACAATTGAACCGCATTATAACTTCCCCATTTCAGCAGCACAGTGATTCCCAGGCTCTATGAAACATTGCGGAGGGAAATTGAAACCGAATCAGCACAGGCACCGTATCTGGCTCTCTCCACTGATAGCTGGACCTCCAGAGCAACTGAAAGTTACCTTACGGTGACGATTGGGAGATGAAGAGCTACGTGCTGCAAACTCGTCACCTGTATGAGAGTCATACAAGCGCACAATTATCTCAAGAATGAATTAATGCTGCGACTGAGTGGAAGCTAGAGAGACCAAATATCACAATACCAGTCATTACAGATAATACAAGAAACGTCCAACGCTATCAATGATTCTCCCTTTAAAGACAAAGATTCTTAAATCTATAACATCAGCTCCTGAGAACAGTGAACCATCATGGAGGCCAAGGCAGCCATTACACAGGACTTGGAAAAAAGATACAAAGAACCAGATCTTCCTGAGTACCTTCACAAAGCTACAGCCCTTGATCCAAGGTTTAAATCACTGCCATTCCTAAATGAAGACTGGTGTGATCTTATATGATTATAATAATCTTATAAAAGAAATTGTGGAGCATAAATATCAGCATAAATTTCACCATGACAGACCAATGCAGCGCCCACATCACTGCAGATGCCGCACCAATCCGCCTGTCGATCTCCCGCTCCATCCTTCCCTCACTCGTGAACAAGACCCCGAGATACATAAACTCCTCCACTTGGGGAAGGACCTCCTCTCCAACCCGGAGAGAGCACTCCACCCTTTTCCGGCTGAGGACCACGGTCTCGGATTTGGAGGTGCTGATTTTCATTCCTTATAAGGCCATACTCCTGGAGCACTCCCCATAGGACTCCCCGAGGGACGCGGTCAAATGCCTTCTCCAAGTGCACAAAGCACATGTAGACTGGTTGGACAAACTCCCACGCACCCTCCAGGACCCTGCCGAGAGTATAGAGCTGGTCCACTGTTCCACGCCCAGTGCAAAAACCACACCGCTCCTTCTGAATCCGAGGTTCGACTATCCGATGGACCCTCCTCTCCAGCACCCCCGAATTGACCTTACCAGGGAGGCTGAGGAGTGTGATCCCCCAATAGTTGGAACACACCCTCCGGTCCCCCTTCTTGAAGAGGGGGACCACCACCCCGGTCTGCCAATCCAGAGGCACCGCCCCCGATGTCCACGCGATGCCTCAGATGCGTGTCAACCAAGACAGCCCCGCAACATCCAGAGCCTTGAGGAACTCCAGGCGGATCTCATCCACCCCTGGGGCCCGGCCACCGAGGAGCTTTTTAACCACCTCAGCAACCTCTGCCCCAGAGATAGGCGAGTCCACCCCCAAGTCCCCAGACTCTGCTTCCTCATTGGAAGCTGTGTCGGTGGGGTTGAGGAGATCTTCGAAGTATTCCTTCCACCGACACTCAACGTCCAGATCTGACCATAAACAGTGTTGATGCTGCACTGCTTTCCCGCCCTGAGACGCTGGATGGTGGACCAGAATCTCCTCGAAGCCATCCGGAAGTCGTTCTCCACGGCCTCGCCAAACTCCTCCCATACCCGAGTTTTTGCCTCAGCGACCGCCGAAGCCGGGTTCCACTTGGCCTGCCGATACTCATCAGCTGCTTCCGCAGTCCCACAGGCTAAAAAGGCCCAATAGGACTCCTTCTTCAGCTTGACGGCATCCCTCACCGCCGGTGTCCACCAGCGGGTTCGGGGATTGCCGCCGCGACAAGCACCGACCATCTTACGGCCACAGCACCAGTCAGCCGCCTCCACAATGGAGGCGCGGAACATGGCCCATTCGGACTCGATGTTCCCCGCCTCCCCCGGCACATGGGCGAAGTTCTGCCGGAGGTAGGAGTTGAAACTCCCTCTGACAGGGGATTCCACCAGACGTTCCCAGCAGACCCGTACTATACGCTTGGGTCTGCCAGGTCTGACCGGCTGACAGGGTATCCTGGTGCCAAGTGCACATATGGACACCCTTATGCTTGAACATGGTGTTCATTATGGACAATCCATGACGAGCACAGAAGTCCAACAACAACTCGGGCTCAGATCGGGGGGGCTGTTCGCAACAACAGTCAGGACCCGTCCCCCAACCCAAAGGCGAAGGGAGGCTACCCTCTCGTCCACTGCGGTAAACCCCAATGTACTATAAGTATGCCCACCCCAGACCGGGTTTTTTTTTTTTTTTGTAAATGGAAAGTTTTATATGTTTAAATAAAAAATATAGAGTTCAAGGAATGATAGCATATTTTGTCTAAAATAAATGGATACTATAAATACTGTAACGTACCATAACCGTGACACAAAAACCGCAATACGTACCGAACCATGGGTCCAGTGTACCGTTGCACCCCTAGTCCACACAGGTGTGGTTCTTGAGCAATACTTTTAATAATGTATAAAAAATACCAGGTAGGTCCAGTGGCCCATTGCTATGACGTTAAGAAAAGAAGGGAAGACCTGACTTTGAGAGTGAGGTGATTCTTGAGGCACATTTAATTCAATATAGACAGATGGTGTCACATCCCTCAATACACTTAAAGAATCAATTTCAAGGTGCAGTGACCCTGTTTCGCTGACTCATGGTGACCCAACACCAATTTCAGATGCAAAGTTTCCTGTGAGGTAACGGTTAAAGTCCCCTATGTGGTAGGGGCTAGAGTCCCCTGTGAGGTAAGGGCTACAGTACCCAGTATGATAGAGGCTAGCGTCTCTTCTGAGGTAAGGGCTAAAGCCCCTTATGTAGGGCTAGAGTCCCCTGTGAGGTAAAGGCTACAGTACCCAGTATGATAGAGGCTAGCGTCTCTTCTGAGGTAAGGGCTAAAGCCCCTTATGTGGGGCTAGAGTCCCCTGTGAGGTAAGGGCTACAGTACCCAGTATGATAGAGGCTAGCGTCTCTTCTGAGGTAAGGGCTAAAGCCCCTTATGTAGGGCTAGAGTCCCCTGTGAGGTAAAGGCTACAGTACCCAGTATGATAGAGGCTAGCGTCTCTTCTGAGGTAAGGGCTAAAGCCCCTTATGTGGGGCTAGAGTCCCCTGTGAGGTAAAGGCTAGAGTCCCTGGTGAAATAGGTACTACAGTATAGTCCACTGTGAAGTAAAGGCTAAAATTTGTGCGTACTGTACATCAGTTTGAACATGCTGCCATCTAATTTTTGGTAAAACATGTAGAATTTTAAGTTTGTTTTTCCCTTATTAGACATTCTCACTTCCTGTCAATCTAAAGATCCTGCACACAGAAACGATACAAAGCACTGCACCCAAACCAAACCACAGCGGGGCAGTATGAAAAAAAAACACTTCCTGCTATTCAGCAGACTCTACATAAGCACAGAAGCGACACATTTTTCAGTACCAGTGTTCTTTGACACTATCCTTCAAACTGTCATCTTCACCATGAACATAACAATGAAAGGGATGAAGAATGGCACTTGTAAAATTGACAAATCCTTTACAAAAGTCTACCTGCCAACGATATATGGACTGGGGTTTGTTGTTGGTCTGCTTGCAAATGCTTGGGGTTTAAAATGTTTGTCTAAAACCTGGAAAAAAATTGGGAATATTCAGATTTTTATCCTTAACCTTGGAATTTCAGACATGCTGTACATCTTCACCTTGCCTTTTTTGGCCTATGCTGAAATGAAAAAATCCTGGATTTTTGGACAAGCCTTCTGCAAAATCACCAGATTTTGCTTTAACTTGAATTTATATAGCAGCATCGGTTTCCTCACCTGCATCAGCGTTTACAGATACCTGGGCATCGTCCACACCATGAGAGTGAAAGGACAAATTACTCAGAAACATTCTGTGGCTCTTAGTGTCTTTGTCTGGTGCATGGTCTGTCTTCAGATTATTCCTGACTTATACTTTGAGAAGACACCGAAGCACATCCTAAGATTCTGCTTCGACACCACAGTGAATGAACACGTCAAAGAGTATCTGTCGTACAGCATTTGGTGGACGGTCACTGGATTCGGCATCCCTCTGCTGGTTTTTTTAGGGTGTTATGGACATGTGGCAGTGGTGCTTTCTAGAAGAAATGACATCGATGTTACTCTGAAAGAACAGTGCCTGAGACTTGTGGTAACTATAACTCTTTTGCACGCTGTTTGTTATATCCCTTTTCACGTGTTTCGTAACCTCAACCTACAAACTAGGGTCTTGCAAAACGAAAGACTTTGCTACAAAAGTTTTGGGAAAATCTACATAGCTTACCAGGTGTGTCGTGGCCTTGCGTATTTGAACCCTGCCATCATTCCACTCATGTATCTAAATTGTTATGATGATGTCCATGTGCATTTTAGAAAAATCAGAAAAAGAGCGAGGGAATCTCTGGATCAGCTAACCAGAATAGTTATTATTAATAATCCTGACAGACAACCTGCTTAGATTTGATCTCGAAGAAGACAAATCACATATTGATGGATTTATATAAAATGTTTGCCTGATGGTGATGGCCAGCTTTTCATATTGACCCTTTCTGTTATTATTATTATTATTATTATTATATTATTCTTATTGATACATTTAAGCTATTGCTACCTTGATTTCAATGGAAAGATTTACATTGTCTAGTGTTTAGAGGGAAAACATAATGTTTATATTGTTCATTTTTTGTGCACTGTCTTATTTTGTTTTCAAAAGTCATGTATGTTTGATGGTATGTTTCTTGCTTGAAATTGTAATATGTTTTTGTTTTAGGAGTATAGAATACAGCGATTACTAAATCCAAACTGCTTATTATATTTACATTTTTTTGTGTCTGAAAAAGTGGAATGTTCTTGATTCGAAGTCAGTCACCTGACCCCAATCCAGTTAGACATTCATGTTGAAGATCAGACTGAGGCTGGAAAGTTCCTATTTGGTTAGAAAGCCTTTGTGTGATAGGTTAATTTTATTAGGAAACTGTGACACAGTAGTTTTGGAAAAAAAGTTATTTTAATAAATAATAAATTCATAATTATAAACATATAATGTCTGATAAAAACAAAGGTTTACTTGAAAAAGGTTAATATGCCAAAGCTCTGTAAAAAGCTTAAAAAAAAAAGATTTCATCTATATTTAATTTGCGATCTACCTGTTGAGCCTTTCCGCTCATAACGGATTGATTGATTAGGTCTGTGGAAGGCGGAAAGGGGAAACTTTCGGCACGATGCCTCATTCTCAGTAATGCTACCACAGAGGAAGCATCGTGTTTGAGTGTTCATTTATATTTCCCCTTTATTCAGGGTGTTACATTTGCAGTCAGTGCCTGGACTCTATGGTCCGTAAGCACCTCCAGATAGTTAATGTCTTTTGTACTTGTACGCCCACCATTTCACTAACTACGATGACTTCATTTCAGCTCATGTTAATTAGTCTGAACATTAGTTGGTGTACAGGTTAAGGCATTAACATTCCAATGATTTATCTTTAAGGAGCATAACCTGGATTTTATTTGTAAAAAAAGTACTGTTTAAATGCATGGAACTTTCCGCCCTCCTCTTACCTCAACAAGGGATGATTTGTGCCCTCCTACCTGGGATATGGTACAGGCTGCTGGTTAGTGTAAACCAACATGGTGTCCGCGGGGATGAATGTGGTGGGGACCAGCTACCCCAGATAGACGTCCCCGATCATCATTCACCCCTCTATACATTGATAACCAGGGTGGGCGGTAGGGTGTGGTGGCTCAACTGCTGCGTAGAGAGAGACTTGTATGCAATCTGAGGCTAACCATTGGCACCAGGAGAGCTGCATCATCTATTCTGCAAAGAGATAGTTGTGCATCACACTGACACTGTCCGTGAGGCAGAGAATGAAATGGAAGTTCCTGAGTTAGAGGACTTGAAGCTACAAGTTGGTGGTGCTTTGTACACATTAACCAGAGATGCTTTGATTGAAGTGTGTGATTTTCTAACTATTGCTGGTCCAACATTTACATATGTATCCGACAAAAGCCGCTCTTCCCTCATTGTACATATTACAAGATATTTAGAGAGAGAAGGGGTAAGTGAATTGGAGGATCAGGGCATGGCAGAGTTATTGATGTTGAATGATAAAGTTAATGAGTTGCAACAGGGTTCTCAAAATAGTACACGAGAACATGCAACCTCAGGTGCAAAACAAACAGATTTGGTGCGGAAGCAGGTCACTCAGCCCTCAAAAGAAGAGCGATTAAAAAAAGAGATAGAGGCACTACAATTAGCATTAGCACTTTCACTACAGGATAAAGTAAATCAGACCCATGCAGCCACGAGGTCAGTGAGTGGGGAAAATAATAGTGCAAGCCCAGGCCGTGTCTCTGCTCAGCAGACCCCCCAACATTGTCTCCCCTTACAGTGGGGCAGAGAATTCAAAATATCGGGCCAGATCGGTGACCCAGGCCAAAAGGACAAGCTCAACTTTTCCAGTCTAGCTCACCAAATTGAGCAGGGCATTAGCAAGGGAGTTCCTGAATTGGAAATTATTGATGCAGTGATTCGGGCAATAGCACCAGGCTTACAACTACGCAGCTACCTAGAAGGCAAGACTAACCTCACATTACCTACTTTGAGGAGGATTCTCAGGTTTCATTATCAAGAAAAAGGCGCAACAGAACTGTATAAGCAGCTCACCTCAGAGGTGCAAGGCAGTAAGGAAACACCACAAAACTTTTTGATCCGCGCCCTAGATTTGAGACAAAAAATCCTGTTTGCTTCACAAGAAGCAGAATCGGGTTTAAAGTATGATCCTGTGCTTGTACAGAGTATGTTTCTCCATACCGTATTGACAGGCCTGCAGAATGATAACATTAGAAGCGACCTCCAACCATTCCTGCAACAAACAACAACAAGTGATGAGCTGCTCCTCGAGAAACTTAACATTTCCTGCGCAAATGAAGCAGAGAGGCAAAATAAAAAGAAACTACTTACCCAACAGCGGCCAACCACTGTGCAGTCAGTTCAATCTGATGACACACCGGTAGATAAAAAAGGTAAAAACACACATTGGGAATATACCAGTAAAGCCCAGTCTGCTGTATTAAATGAACTGAAAGAAATGCGTTCTGATATGGCATTATTGAAAAACTTAGGTGCTGAAGTTGCACAAGTCAGAGAATCAATCCAACAGCCTAACCCAGCACAGACGCAATATTTGGCTCCAGCAGTAGCGCAAGAGTGCATTCCCCCTCCACAGTTCCAGTATCCATCACAAAACTGCTGGCCTCCCCAAGGACCAGGATGGAGAGGAGACACAGCCCAATATAAGCAAAGGTTTGCACCACAGGGTCAGTATCCTGCCCTGAACCGTGCACGCCTAAGAAAATGCATCAGCTGCCAGCGGAGTGGAAGTGAATATTGCACACATTGCTACAGTTGTGGTAGTAGTGAGCACTTCTTCGCAGGATGCAGGGTAAGAGGATCCAGACTAGATAAAGAGGATTCTTTAAATGGAAGAGGGTTACCCCCACGGGACAGGGAGTAACCAGCAATGGTGGAATGTCCCGGCAGCATTGCTCCCACTGTGGCATCACTGGGTGGGACCAGAGACTCAGGAGGTGTGCCTCCTGTAAAAAAGACGCCTACTGTTCTAAAAATCTGTCAAGCTGAACATTGGCTTATACATAGAAATCAGTGCAACAGGCATCTTCACTCACAGGTAAACCAGAGTTTTGACGTAAGGGTGAATGCCACCAGCCCCAAGAAACAGGACAGCCGGTCTCGTCTTGTTGCTTTGGTAGGGAAAAGGTGTATGGTTGAGTGCTACATACAAGGCTGTAGAACTCGAGCTTTATGGGACACAGGTTCTCAAGTGTGTATTGTTGATGAAAGATGGAAAGGGAGGCATCTGCCAAATGAGAAGTTAAGGGATATCTCTGAGTTACTTGATGCACCTGATGATTTGAAAATCACGGCTGCTAACGGGCAGAGCATGCCTTATACTGGCTTCATTGAGGTCACTTTTGGATTGGCTGCAGATGACGCTGACCCCAAAGAACTTGTTGTCCCCATGCTGGTGATGAAGGGTGGAAGACTCTCACAGCCCATCCTAGGCTTCAATGTCATTGAGCGAATAGTGAAGACCATCACTACAGCACAGCTGGATGCTATGGAAGCACGGGAGTTATATGAGACCTTAAGAGCGGCTTTCCCAAGTCTTGAGGAAGAAAATGTTGCTGCCTTCATTGATCTAGTGTCTGCTGAACAGTCATGTGACTATATCGTGAAAACAACAAAAGGGAAAGTCATTGTACCAAAACACACCTCTGTGCAGATCGATTGTAGAGTGCAAACACAACCACTAAAGAAGGACACTACACTTCTCTTTGAGCCTGATGTAAATCCCCAGTGGGCCGAGGGCCTTGAGTTTTGTGAGACCTTAGTAAAACTCAGGAGTGGTGTTCCATCTTATATTGCCCTCGACGTACAAAACCGCACTGATCACGATATTGATTTGTTGGGAAAAACTATGGTGGGTACCATGCAGCAAGTTCAGGCCGTGTACCCAGCTACCATTTTAGAGAAACCCAACCATCGCTTTCCCGCCTCAGTGAGTCAAGTGAATGCAGAGAGTGAGCAGGTTACTGACCCTTCATGGGATCCACCAATTGACCTGAGCCATCTGAATGAATCTGAAAAAGAAGTAGTGCAGAACATGCTTCGCAAGGAATGCTCCACCTTCTCCAAATCAGATGATGACATTGGATGTATAGAGAAACTGAAGTTGAGAATCTCGTTGAAGGATATGGATCCTGTAGCGCGTACTTACCTATCTGTGCCCAAGCCTCTATATAAAGAAATGAAAGATTATCTGCACAACCTTATTGCACAGGGATGGGTTAAAAAGTCCAACTCATCTTATGCCTCACCGGTTGTCTGCGTAAGAAAAAAAGATGGTAGCTTACGTCTCTGCGTGGACTACCGCGAGCTAAACAAGAAGACCCATCCTGATCGACAACCGATTCCTCGGGTACAGGACATCCTTGACAGTCTTGGTGGCCACTCATGGTTTTCATTACTAGATCAGGGGAAGGCCTACCACCAGGGTTTTATGGAGGAAGGCAACAGGCCTTTGACTGCATTTGTAACACCATGGGGCCTGTATGAATGGATTAGGATTCCATTCGGGCTAATGAACGCACCGGCAACCTTCCAACGCTGTATGGAAGAGTGTTTGGAAGATGTGCGAGACAACATCTGTGTCCCCTACCTGGATGATACTCTAGTGTACAGTCAGTCATTTGAAGACCATGTGGACCATGTCAGGAAGGTGCTTCAGCTGTTGAGAAAGCATGGAATCAAACTAAAACCCAGTAAGTGTGAATTATTTAAACGTGAGGTCCGCTATCTGGGAAGGATTGTTTCACCTGAAGGTAGCAAAATCGATCCAGCTGACACCCTTGCAGTGAGAGCTTTGAAGGAGAAGAAACCAAGAAATGTGGGAGAACTACGGGCAATCCTGGGCTTGTTAAGTTATTACCGGCAGTACATACAGGACTTCTCCCGTATCGCGGGGCCACTTTATGACTTACTGAAAGGGACCACAGAAGATATTGTACCCCAAAATAGGATAAACACAAGATGATTTACAGGGAAGAGAAAAGGAGTACCGTCACACAAACCGATAGAGTGGACTGAAAAACATCAATGCATTCTGGAACGGCTAATAGACTGTCTGGTTGAGCCACCAGTCCTCGGGTTCCCAGACTTCTCACAACCATTCATCCTCCATACAGATGCCTCTAATCAAGGTCTTGGGGCAGTTTTATATC